ACTGGTCTCCAACTGGGAGATGCAGCTAGGAGGGACACATCTCAAACTGGTCTCCAGCTGGGAGCTGCAGCTGGCAGGGACGTCACCCAGACTGGTCTCCAGCTGGGAGATGCAGCTGGCAGGGACACATCTCAAACTGGTCTCCAGCTGGGAGCTGCAGCTGGCAGGGATGTCACCCAGACTGGTCTCCAACTGGGAGATGCAGCTGGGAGGGACACATCTCATACTGGGAGATGCAACTGGGAGCTACAACTGGCAGGGATGTCACCCAGACGGATCTCCAGCTGGGAGCTGCAACTGGCAGGGACATGGCCCAGACTGATCTCCAACTGGAACATGCAGCTGGGAGGGACACATCTCAAACTGGTCTCCAACTGGGAGCTACAACTGGCAGGGACATCACCCAGATGGATGTCCAGCTGGGAGCTGCAGCTGGCAGGGACATCACCCAGACTGGTCTCCAGCTGGGAGCTGCAGCTGGCAGGGACATCACCCAGACTGGTCTCCAACTGGGAGCTGCAGCTGGCAGGCACATCGCCCAGACTGGTCCCCAAGCAGGGACTCACTCACCCCAGTGCTCTGCTTCTTGGTGTCCAGCAAAGGGAGGTTGTAGGAGGCCGCCAGGCTTGGGGAGGAGAGGACATCTCGCAGGGGCACTCGGGCTTCTCCCAAAAACCTGGGGGGGAAGAGCAGCGGGGGGTCAGCGGCGAAGGGGCCGAGGAGCCGTGGTGCAAACCCGGGCACCAGTGACTGACCCAGAGGGCAGGGGAAGAGTGGGGGACGCTGCCGGCATCCCTGGGAGGATGGGAACGAGACTCAGACCCAGCCCAGGTGAGACAACCAGGGTGAGCATCTCTGGGGACCTTGTCCCCTTCTGATCGAGGAATCAGAATCACAGAAGAGTAGGGGTTGGAAGGGACCTCTGTGGGTCATCTAGTCCAACCCTTCTGCCGAAGCAGGGTCACCTACAGTAGGCTGTAGACGACCTTGTCCAGGCGGGTCTTGAATATCTCCAGAGAAGGAGACTCCACAGCCTCCCTGGGCAGCCTGAAAAGCACCTCAAAGTCCACGCCAAGGAACCAGGAGCCATAAACCGAAGCACTGATGGATTTTTCTTTACCAGCAGAGCAAATGGAGACACAAAGGGGTTTTGCTGGCAGTGGGTGGGAGCAGAGCTGGCAGCCGACGCTGGTGTCTTCGTGCCACCATCACCCGGGAGGATTTTCAACCACCAGAAAACTGATTTTCCCCTCTCAAGTTTCAGCATCTCCCTCTTCCTGCCCCAGCCAGCAGTGCTGGTTCCCCCACAGACTGGTTGGGGTGCAGGTCCAGTGCTGCTGCCCAACTCCTCCCCACCCAGAGCCTGGAAAGCCCTCAAACCACGTTGTGCTGCCCCGACAGCACGATGAGGTCAGGGAGTAGATCCTCCAGGAAGACACGTTGAAACACGGAAGGCAGGGAGGCGATCAGAGACAGCAAACGTGCCTTCACCACGGGCAAATTGTGCCTGACCAACCCAGTGGCCTTCTACGATGGAGTGACCGCATCAGTGGACATGGGAAGAGCTATGGATGTTGTCCATCTGGACTTCTGTCAGGCCTTTGGTACGGTCTTCAACAACATTCATGACTCTAAACTGGAGAGATCTGGCTTTGATGGATGGACTGCTGGATGGATAAGGAGTTGGCTGGATGGTCATGTCCAAAGGGCTCAATGCCCAAGTGGAAAGCAGAAATGGGCGATGTTCCTCAAGAGTCCACACCAGGACAAAACCTACTGAACATCTTCCTCAGTGACACAGACAGCGGGATTGAGTGCACCCTCAGCAAGTCTGCAGATGACACCAAGCTGAGTGGGGGGGTCGACACGCCTGAGGGATGGGATGGCGTCCAGAGGGACCTGGACAAGCTGGAGAGGTGGACCCATGAGTAACCCTCATGAGGTTCAACATAACCAAGAGCAGGGTCTTGCACCTGGTTTGGGGCAACCCCTGATACCGATACAGGGTGGGGATGCAGGGATGGAGGAATGGAGAGCAGCCCTGCCGAGAAGGACTTAGAGGTGCTGAGCGGTGAGAAGCTGGCCATGACCCGGCAGTGTGCACTTCGGGAGAGCCCCCCGGGAGTCCTGAGCCCAGCTCTGGAGCCCTCAGCACAGGGCAGAGCTGGAGCTGTGGGAGCGGGGCCAGAGGAGGCCCCAGCAATGATGCGAGGGCTGGAACCCCTCTGCTGGGAGGAGAGGCTGGGAGAGCTGGGGCTGCTCAGCCTGGGGAGGAGAAGGCTGCGGGGAGACCTGAGAGAGGTCTTCCAGAACTTCATGGGGGTCTACAAGAGAGCTGGAGAGGGGCTGGGACAAGGGCAGGGG